CTCTATTGAGTCTCACACACCATCAGCTTTACTGATACCAGTGCAGGATAACCAGGTACAGGGACGCTTCAATGGATAGTCGGGCTTATGATCGCTGGATAGCCTACATGATGCAATATTGAAATATAATACAGTTTAAAAAAATGTTGCATGTAATAGGAATGATTTTCCCTGCTGAGAAAAACATCTTAAACCAGCCTAAGGTGGTTATCTGGTCTCCCAACTTGGCTAAACTGTTAAGCATTGTTGAGTTTTATCAGGATTTAGGCCACATTTCAGCCAGTCAGCCAGTACTGGAAGACCAGCTAAACCAACTTACACCAGTTAAAACCAGACAGATTTTTTTTTTAAATCAGGGTTAAGAAATTCATTGTTCAGTATTATTGGACCTAAATTATAAAGGACTGTAGCCGCAGCCTTAAACATGCACAAAGGTTAAAAGTCACATGTTTTTAATCATCGTATAGCTTTAAAATGCCATAAGATGACTAAGAACCCAAAAAAAGGTTTAATATATAAAACTTTGCGAGGATTCATGACATTGCACTTTAATAAAAGACAGTTGGGTCTTTACTAAAAGCATTCAGAGCTTAAAGGAATAGTTTGCCCAAAAAAAAAAAAAATTGTCCTCATTTTCTAGTTTTACTTGATTTTCCATAGATAATTTTCCAGAAATATCATGTTAAAATGCGAGTATCAAATATGATCCATCAGGATCCATTCGGAGGGACGTCTATTTGTTCATCTTAACAAACTAAAAAGCTTTGGTTATAAAAGTGCATATTTTTGCTCAGTGTGGGACTCTGAATAAAATGGAGCTGTTTTTTTAGCTAAGCTTTTTATTCCATTTTTTACATTTCTTTCTTTTTTATCATTTCACACGCAGGCTTTACAGGGTCGCGCCCCTGAATCCCACTCGAGTCTTGTGTCGTGGTAAGCCGAGGCGGCCCGTTCTGACATTGCACACTGACAGGAAACCCCAACACTCACACACACAACATTAATATTTAGATCACCCTCTGGGTAGACACAAGGAGAATATATCTAGCCTGTAATCTCTCTAAAATTATCCCTTCCATCTCCAGCTTTCTTCCTTCATACCTGCGTCTCTCAGTCGCTGGCTCTTTCATTTCCCCCACAGATGGAGTCGCACTCAGACTCGGACGCGTTCCCTCTCTTTCTTCCTTGTATCTCAGCGGGGACCTGGCAACTCTCTACCTCTCCGTCTCACTCTCAGCTCATCTGTTTCTGTGCGTTTGAGCTGCCATCGCTCATCATACTGAACAATTTCCTTTCTGTTAACTGACTGATTCCAGTTCAGGCATCCCAACATGTGTGCACCTGGAGCTGTCAGTCAATATGATGCATGAACTGGACATGAACAGACATTGTTTGCAGGACAAAAATATATATATTTGCAGTGAACTAACTCACGTACACAAACAAACTAAAATGTCCGTAAAAACAAACAAATTGTATATGCATTTCAATTATAAAAACATAATATCATAATTTTATATATTATATATTTTATAGTTATTATAATAATATTAATAGTTGACAAACTATGCATTATTGTATGATTAGTTGCATTTTATTAATTGCATTTAGCATCATGCTGACCCTAACAAATATTTATTTATTTATTTATAATTATTATAATTACACATTTAATAATTAACCAGCTGAGAGCCACCAAACTTTGAGATTAAATGGCGAGTAAATCAAGACATTTCCTTGTGGTATTGTGCGTGTAAGATTTGATATAAATAACACGGTAAAATGCCGTCATTTTAGTCTGCCATCAAACTCTCAATACGAAAATATTTCTCATCAAATTCATCCATGACCAAATAATCAGAGCTATACTATTCATATTCATTTTATAGCTCTACTCTTAAAAACTGACTCAAGGAATTTTAGAGGAAACATCTGAGAAAATGTTTCAATGCTTCAATCAAACAAACCTGAGAAACTCCATTCAGTTTCCTTAAATAAGCCCAGACATTGGCAAAGTGTAACTCCATGCTTTTATCTTTGAGGTCAACATGAAAGCAAAATTGATCCACTTTATTTTCTAAACACATGATCCAGATAATTTTTTGCTAGATTATCTTCTACAACTATGGTAATTAATGACCATATTTTACAATCAAATCAATTCCCAAAGGATAAAATGTTATCTTATGTGATCAAATTGATCTTCTTATCACATAAGAAGATAAATGGTGTGCAAACATTGACTTTAATGCTCTTGTAAGAGTGACTCCGCCCCCTTCTTTATTTACACATACGCCTTTATACATGTGTGCGTGCGAGAGTTTGTGATTCTCCAGGTCTCCTCTGGGAGTGTTATTCACACCTTCATTCTGGGCAGGAGTAGATGAAAATGTGTGGTGACGTGGGCCGTTGTTATTGATTTTGCTAGACCCTTGTGCAGTGGGGGAGGTTACATAAGCCCAGGCAATTATACCTTGGGCTCATGGGGAGAAGAAACATCCTGGATGTCCACCTGGATCTTCCTCAGGGCTCTGAACACTGATTCATACGCCACGACAGAAAGCACCCAGCTGATCAAGTCCGCCTGCTAGTCCTGATGAATTCGGTTCGGTTGTGGCATCATAGGTCATATTCTTTTTCATTTTTCAGATTTTGAACGTCTGATCCACATTGCAACATATCCCCGCCCCAAAAAACGTTCACTTTAAGACAGGAGCAGACTGTCTGGCTGATATGTAAATTGCATTGTACGTGATGTTTACGTGCAGGTAAATCTGAAATCAGATGCGACCTTAAAAGAGCAGCTGAATATAAAGGCACACTTGGTTTGTTTACTTGCTACCGTCTCAAACAAAAACTGTTAAATATCTTTCAAAGATGTGATGGCATCAACCTCACAAACTTTGCCAAATGCAGAGCTTTCTTTCTTGGAAGGCCTCACAGTAGCAGACTGGGAACTTGTAAACACGATATTGTTTCCAAGTGAACTGAGACAGGTAAGACTGCCAGAATTGTGTAAAGCATAGCTCTCAACTGGTGCTTTTGGTATTTATATTGCTTCTACCAAATGAAATATGAAATTGTGTCAAATTGCCATAGACTTCGATTACACGCACAACCTTTGATGATGAAAGACTAGACTGCAAAAAACAAATCAGTATATTTGTCTTTGAATCTAAGCATCCTTCAAACTAAATAAACGTACTAAAGAATTACTACTATAAATATAATATACACTATCATTCCAAAGTGGTAACACTTTACTTGAAGGGGTGTGCATAAGACTGACATGACACCTTCATAACCATGACATGACATATGTCATGAATATGAAGTAGGGTTTATGCATGTTTATGACAACTGTCATTAAGTGTCTTTCGCTCAATAATGACATTTTGAATGCAAATATGACATTGTTTAAGATGTCTTTGTTATGACATCTTGACATAAACCATAACATAAACCATAACATCATAACCTGTCAGTGTCTTTGTCATGACAACTTGACATTAAATTAAGTTAAACTGTCATGTGGTTGGTTTTGACATTGGCTGTCATAAGGCCATTATAACTGTGTCATGAATATTTTTCGTGACCTCAACTACAGTGGTACAAATTGAATTTGTCATTAAACAGTTATAATGGCTTCATGACAGCCAATGTCAAAACCAACCACATGACAGTTTAATGTAATGTTAACCAATAAAGCTAAGTGGTTTCTTAAGTTTGATAATTAATCTGCTATGTCATGCTTTTATGACAGGTTGTGTTGTCTTAGTAATGTCATGACAAGGACACTGACAGGTTATGATGTATTGGTTTATTTCAAGGTGTCATAACAAAGACATCTCAAACAATGTCATATTTGCATTAAAAATGTCATAATTGAGCGAATGACACTTAATGACAGTTGTCACAAACATGCATAAAACTTCCTTCATATTCATAACATGTGTCATGTCATGATTATGAAGGTGTCATGTTAGTCTTATGCACACCCCGTCAAGTAAAGTGTTACCAAAGAGGGTATTTCAAATAAATTATGTTCTTTTGAACTTTCTATTCATCCCAAACTAGTTGTTTTAAATGGTAACACAGTCTCCAGATCTCAGTCCAGTAGAGGAGATTTGGGATGTGGAGGAACGGGAGATTCGCATCATGGATGTTCAGATCCGACAAATCTGCAGTAACTGTGTAATGCGATCATGACAATATGGACCAAAATCTCTGAGGAATGTTTCTAGCACCTTGTTGAATATATGACATGAAGAATTAAGGCAGTTTTGAAGGCAAAGGGGAGTAAAGTGGCCAGAGAGTGTATATGGCCAGTTGAGAACCAGCTTGGAGTTTTGAGAACAAATTAGCCCAATTCGCCTAATTATGCATCTTATACATCAGTCTGTGATCGGTCTCGTTGGAGTTAGAGGCCGAGACTTGGTTTTTAGAGAAAAAACTAATAAAAAATGTGTTATTTAATGTATTATTCACCAGGAAATTAAAAACTAATAGTTTGGCTCATCTCTAAAGGCCCTTGCACACAGAGTCCGAAATTCGCGTCCGAAATTTTCGCACGTTAAAAAATAAATACGACCTCACGTTTAAATATGTATGTATTAAAATAAATATGACCTCACGCTTGCGCACTGCCTCCGAAACTTTCGTCTGTCATAAAAAAAATCGGATCGGGTTTGATTTTCTGCGTTTTTTTGGTGAATGGTGTTTTGACAATTCAGAGCCACCGAATCACGAATACGAAAAAAACGCATACGAAAATTTCGGACTCAGTGTGCAAGGGCCTTAACAGTCAATAGACTCTTTAGCAAGGACAGGTGACCGTTTCCCTAGCAAATGGCTTCCCACAAACTCACCTAAAATGCATTACAATTGATTTAAAAACCATTCCATAGTGACCTTTCACCTATAGGCATATGTTGATGTGAGTGTATTGGTGCAAATCCTCAGAAAACATGTATTTCTGCACATAAACACAGAAAACATACCTGTATATGATACAGGCGCAGTCTCTGCAGGTGCCGCAGTTCTCAATGTCCTGTCCCGTTCGGTACGAGTGTCTTCTGAAACACACACAAAAAAACAATAACCATGGGTTTTTTAAAACTGTCAGCATGTCCTACTGAAGAGAGTTATTGGTGACAGACAGCATGGATTGTTTATAGCTCAAGCCTGTTAAACTGTAGAGTGTGTTTGAATCAAACACCGTTGCGGTTCCGACGGATGTAGCTCGTGTTCGTGGCGTCCTTGATGAATGACTCTTCTGAGCGTCTGACAGTTATGTAAGAGTGACTCACAGCTAACAGGACTATACTATCATTCTGCTTAATTAAAACACTGTCATTTGTGTGTGTTTTTATATTGTGAAGGTTGTGGCATATTTGGAGAACAGCAAGTATCAAGCAGGTATTACAGACCTCTTCAGGAAGTCAACCTACAAATGGATTAGTTATAGTTGTCTCTGCACATTAAGCAGTGAGAAAGTATATTAGCATTGAAAGAATTACCCACTTTCGTTTTACAGTGTATTGTAGCGGTGCATATATGATTTCGCACAGACGCAAGGTTGTGATCAATTAAAGCGAGTCATCTCTGTGTTTAAGGTGACAGGAAGACTATATGCATGTATACGGTGTTACATACGGCGCCCGAGTCTCACGTGGGATAACAATGCTAGCCTGATTTAGCAGCTCGGCACAATGGGGACTAATTACACATCACAGATTTCCGGAATCTTCCTCCTCTCCTCTCGGCTTCTGGAATTAAAGAGCTGATGGTAATCCTGAGGCTCTTGAGCAGCGCTTAAATAATCCACAGATGGGAATCAATCATAGAGACGGTTTTTACCAAACATGCTATATATCTAGAAATGCCTGGACTTTACACAAAACAACTATATTTCTACAAAAAATAAATAATCTGAAAACAATTGAGTTGTCTATCTATCTATCTATCTATCTAATGTGGACTGATTTAACATCAAAGTAAAATGTTTTTTATGTTGTTAAAGGTCATCGGTCTAGCTCTCTTCTCACATGCAAACACACACACAATCCCTCTCGCTCTCTCTCTCTTGCACACACACACACACACACACACACACAATCAAGCCAACGGTCTCATTAAAAGCCGTTTAAAGTCTCACCTTAATTCGTTCACAGGGGACAGCCTAGTCATTTGTCATTACCACAACAAAGCACTTGCGCGTGTGTGTGTGTGTGTGTGTGCGTGCTTGCGTGTTTTTCTATACTTGTGGGGACCTGTTTCACCGTGGGGACCTAAATTGAGGTCCCCATGAGGAAACAAGCTTATGAATCATACAGAATGATGGGTTTGTTTGTTTTTGGGGAAAATGTAAAAATGCAGAATGTTTTCTGTGATGAGTAGGTTTATGGGTATAGTGTAAAGGGACAGAATATAGTTTACAGTATAAAAACCATTACGTCTATGGAGAGTATCCACAAAGATAGCGGACCAGTGTGTGTGTGTGTGTGTGTGTGTGTGTGTGGTCATAATGTTAAAGTAGCCAAAATAAAAGAGGAATGTGGTGAAATAATAAATAGCCCTGACAATTGAATTCCTCAGAAGCCGTGACACTTTCAACGGAAAAGAACAAACAAAAGATGAATCATAATATGAATGAATCATGAGTAAGTTGAGCTATTGCTCGTTAAAGGCTAGTATGGTGACCGGGAGAGGACATGTTCGGTTAACATTGCAGCAATATTGTTCAATTTTTAAATTCTTTGTTCAGACAACTAGTTGGGACAACAATTGATGCTCAATTCACTCAAAATGTCCAAAAACTAGAAAGCTGATTTCTACAGAGTAGCATCTTAATATGGTTACTTTTGCACAGGCGCGATTGACAATTTTGCGAAATCATTCACTTTTCGCAAAGTTTCTTTTTGCTCAGAAACGCAACAAATGCTCAATTAAGAAATATGGTGACACCCGCCAAATGAGCCGGGGATTGATTAATGACATACTTCACAAGAACATCTGAAAATTACCCCAAGTATTCTTAGATCCGGTCTCTGCAATGACCTTTCAGTGTTAATTACTCTGAGAGAGACGCTACAGGGATTTGTGAGTAAGGTTGAATGAATTATCCGTCTTTTCCTGGTTAACTGAATACAGCTGTAGAGCAGATGTTAACGCATAGAGTTACCACATCTTCACATAGCTGTTGTACGTACTGGTGGTCAGTTGATTCAAAAAGTTCAAATTCAAAAGAGCTTAGACATAGTCAAGCACAGATTGAATGACTACAGTACAAAATAACCACAGAGTGAAGTGATTTGCTTTAAGAGGGGCTTTAGACACAAACTAAAAACCAACAAGAGAATAAAATTAAGTGAGAACCCATTTACACATCATAATCACATAATGCAGCGCTCCACTCCACATGCTAAAGATTCCTGAACGCATCTTTATAAAGAAGACTAATCATCTTTGATGGTGCAATTGTAATGACTCGAAATTATGCCATTATCCTCTTTCTGTTGTTTTCTGCCATGTTTGTTTCATTATGAAGAAGTTAGGCTCGCACACATTTAGTAGAACTAGAAGAATGAATTTTCATATTTCTTGTCTTTCCAGTGGTTAAAAATGATTGATTTACCCATTCAAGGATCTTTCCTGTGAACAGTGATTTTGGTTCGCATCTATGAAATCATGAAGTATGCATAACCTCAATGCATAATGATTTATTTTTAATGAATTTATTTCTATGAAAAGCAAAATAATTGTTCTGTTCACGCTTACAATTCAGAACATTTGTCTTTACAAGCACAAACATATTGTGTTAGGTTTTTCATGCATGTGAATTTGAGTCATTTCTAAACACGCAAGCGCTTCAAGCATTTTCAACTAAGAACGAAACTAAAATGAAGCAATTAAGTCTTTGTTTGAAATGCAACAGTGAATCTCTCTTGGGCAATCTTGCAGAGTAAAACAAGCTCTCCAGAGTTTTCAGGCACGCTTTGAAGCTGACAGTTTATAAATAGGGGGCATCTATGAAGAAAGATGCCGATCCAAGCAGTTTATAAGTGCAGGATCAAGGCAATCTTTGTAAGTATGCTGTGTTACCCATCTCATGTATACGCAAATCAGATCATTATTGTTTGGGAGCTTAAAAAAATGAGAAGCTCATGGATTACATTACAGCAAAAGTTTATGGACAACCCGGGAGGCAGCACAGTTTAGAAATGGACACGTCTGAGAGTTTTGGCAAACGTATTTTTCTCTGCTCAACTGAGCCCCGGAGGAGACATGCTGTCAGGTTTGACAAACACGCAGTCAACAAGCTGACTGTCGAGTGTGATGGACAGCAATGTAATGCCACCGATGTAGTGCATCAAAACTCAGAAAACCTGGTGCTACACTTACTTTAGCTAAAAATTACATATACATTTGCCTCAGGGACACTGGGAATGGCATTAGAAATCACATTATATACCGTTCCAGACTGCTTTCTACAACAATGCATACTCAATACTGCATGCTATTTTTACAGTATACAACAGCATGCAATTTGGGCTTTTTTATGGCATATTTAGAGATTGCATTGTATATAAGCAAATAACCTGTAGTGTGTCATTCAGTTCACCTATATGCATACAAAAATTTAGATATTAAAGGGGAGTTATAATGCCCTTTTTCAAATTCTTGGTTTTGTTTTTGGGGTCTAAGGTTTTCACGATTGAAAAAAAAAACATTTTTAACCATTGTTGCAGATCCTCTCTTCCCAGTCTGTCAGTAATGCTCCGTTTAGTTCCTGTCTCGATGAAGCCCCTCCTTCCGAAAAGCTTAATGTGCTCTGATTGGTCGGCTGGACCAGTGTGTTGTGATTGGTCAAGAGCTTTGAGCATGTTCGGGAAATGTCACGTCCCTTAACCGCCAATTTCAATACTACTAACTAACTCAAACAGCCCCCGCCCCTTTATTTAAATGAGGGCTATTGTGACGTGTTTGTTCCCAGAAGAAAACCCAAGACTACAATGGAGGCGTTTCAGGGAGTTCAGAAACAGTGACACTGAAATAGAGAATAACTCCCGCTGGAGTGACTGTCACTTGCCTGAGCAAAACTTGCTGTTATGAGGCTATAGTCTTGTAGGTGTTTGCCAGGGTGTTGTAATGAAATTGCTAAGGTGTTATAACTGGCCAGAGCCCATCTTCAAGTTTCCATGACATTCTCACTTCTTTATATGGCTCGGGACCCACAATCATGTAAGGGATTTGTTTCCACACATTTTATCATGTGCCAGGCATAAATCGCTTAGAAAAGTAATAGCACCTGTCCTCAACAAGATGCATGAATATAGTTCCAGCTAAAGGATGTTGTTAGTCATGATGCACAGTAGAGTCTGCAAACCTTTTAGCCGTGACTACATTCAAAACACTGCACGGCCTCAAGAGCCTTTTTGCTTTTTTTAAACCAAACAGGCTCATTGGAAATGCGTGCCACAGAAAAAAGGTACCTATACATACAATCCACTGCAGTTTCCAGCTGAAATGAACACTAGTGGCAGTAAAACGCCAAAAACATTACTTTGCACACAAATTATGATTATGGGGCAGATTGTAGATTAATAAAGACTTATTTTAGTCAACAATAATATGTCATGATGGCCTCAAAACACTTTTATCATAGTGAGTGATTAGTAAACGAATACATTTTGACATCTGCATCACATAACCAACTCCATACATCTGGTTATTCTGACGTATTACAGAGGTCATGATTTGAGAACTTAAATTTTCCTTGAGCTTTTGACATATAAGAGGTCATCATACTATAAAAACATCCTGTAAGTTTCAGAACTAAAAACGTCCTTTTTAGTCCAAAAACAGCTTTTATTGAAACCAAGCTCAGAAAATGACGTCACATAATGACGTCATCGCGTGACGAAAGATCGCCTCTTTAACCCCGCCCACCAATTCACGCAAACACAGGATTACTTGAGCAACAAAACACCTGTGATGAATACAAGATGTTTTGCATTGTCTTCCTTGTGATTCTAACATAAAGACAGCATGGATGAACTTTAATTTGAAAGAA